GGGAATAACCGGGCCAGATACCTAGCTTACTATGGCATAACTACGCCTAAGTACAATCGGGGAGCGCTCCCACCTATTGAGCAACCTCTTCTTTCCGGTATTCTTGGTCGCAGCGGTCGCCAACCGGTGGTCCGTGAGGTCCCAACCTTGTGGTGAAGGCGGGAACGGGAGGGTGTGGGGAGGGGCGATGGGGGGGGGGAGGGGGTGGTGGTGGAGGCAGGGAAATTGAGGACATCTGTAACGGTGTCAACAATAAATAAAAAGTAAATACATAAAACAAAAAAGAATAAAAACCGAATGGGCAGATAAACATTATAAGAATAGATGGAGGAGGAACTAGTAATAACAAAAAAAAAAAGAGACAAGACCCCTAAGGCTCAAAACTCATCTTTATTGGAAAGACAACAGCCTATCCCCTACCTTCCTGGGGAAGGGGGGCTGGAATACCGTCCTCCATATGTACACTCGTCAGAATCATCCAGGAGAAGGTGTCCCCAACTCTGGGGACTAAGTGCATGGGAACAAAGTCCCGTTCCTCTCTGGACTCAGTTTTCTCATTTGTGAAATGGGCTCGGGAAACCCTGTGCTGCAGAGCTTCTCACCGATGCAGAAAACGTCCGGTCCGATTCAGAAGGATGAGGTGGGGAGACCTGACCAAGGGGGGCCCCAGGGGGGTACTGCCCATCCTGGCTGGGTTCCCACGGCCCCTTCCACCTCCCTCCCCACCCAGCGCCTCTCCTCTGGCACTGAGGTGGTTACGTGGCCTCAGGCCCGGGGGACAGGAGGCCACCCCCAAAGCCCGCCTCCCGGTACTGGTTGGGGAACATGTTGCTGCCCACAAGGCTGGCAGTGCCCCCGTCCCCAGGGACTGGAGCCTGGTATGAGTCCAGTGTCATTGGCTCAGGACCCGACGGCTCCCCGACCGTGGCCCCTCCAACCCCATTGCCCGAGACAGCGCTGGCAAGTGGCGGAGCCGGGGGCAGCATGTCCAGCATGAAGAGTGCAGGGTTCGTGGTTTCATAGGGAAAGCCATCGTCCAGGAGGTCCGGCCCACCAGGGGGCTCCAGGCCAGGGAGGGACACGGACACGGGGCTGGGGAAGAAGTCTGAATCGGGCAGCAGGGCGGACGGTGGGAGGAACGGGCCTGCGGGGATGAGAAGAGAGAGAAGGAAGCGTGGTGGCTTTAGAGTCAACTTCTGGCCAGGTTCTAACTCCAATGGCCAGCCCCAGGCTAAATGTGTGATCAGTGTGGCCTCCTTTAATCCCAAGGAGAACCAGGGTTGAAACAATTTTGCGATGCTGGGGAGTTTTCCCTAAGAATGAGGAAGGAGAATGGGCTCAAAAGCGCCCCCCCCGCCCAAATATAAAGACAATCCAAAAAAGTGAAATATCCACACCAGGGGAGAAGTCGCCAGTCCCCAAACTGGGAGGTAAAATGACAAGTGTCGTTCTAGGAGAGCCTCTGTTTTGAGACAAGACACACTTCACCAGCAAAGTCTGATTATGCTGATCTCAGAAAGAAACACAGGGCTGCTGGGATTTTATTTCCCAGCGTTCCTTGCAGCTCGATATGGGCCCCAGCCTGAGTTCTGCTGCCTGGAATGTGGGCATGGTGGCTGGAGCTGCAGCAGACATCTGGACCATGACATGGAAACTGAGTTGAAAAAGGCAGGAGCTTGAGATTCTGTTGATCATGCAGCCACCAAAGCATCCCTGGACCACCTACCTCTGGACTGTGTTTATGTGAAAGGACAAATAAATTCTGTCCTATTGAAACCTCTGTCGTGTTGGGTTTTGCTGTGAAGACAAACATGCTCATAACGAATGGGGGTGGAGAGGCTGGGCATTAGTTACCCGTTGCAGTGGGGTGGGAGGGACAACAAATGGTACTGGCAATACCCAGGGTGGGTCTGGCTGCGATGACCAGGCGGGGCTGACTGAGTGGTTGGTGGCTGGCTGGCAGCTGGTGCCCTGGGGCAGCGGGGTGTCGGGAACAGTGTTCTAAGAGCTAGTGGTCAGCAGATGGGAGGTCTCTGATGGCAGCCAGATAGGACTGGAGACGGGCATGTGAGTTGAGATGGAGGCAGGCGGAGAAGAGGCCAGAGGGTGGTTGGGCTAGACAGGCTCTGACCTTGAGGTTGGCTGGCTCTGACAGCCATCCCCAGTTGTCCACCTCCTACTCCCTGCTCCCTGTTTCACACCCATCATCACTGATCTATACTGATGCTCAGATGCAACTCCCTGCTCCACCGGGACTAACTGTGTGACCTTGGACAAGAGCTTCTCCTCTCTGAGCTTCAGTGTTTTTCACCAGGAAAGCAGGGGCCGGGGAGAATGATAGCAGCCACCTTGCGGGGCGATGGCGCAGATCAAGTGAGAAAAGACACACAAAGCACTTATGCGCCTGTCATACAGTGTCTGTAAAATAAAGACATGAAATGTTAAAAGGCCAGTGAGAGAGGTACGTGGTGAGACTTGGCAGGCACGCCGCTGAGGCTCTGAGAGGTGCAGCAACTTGGCCAAGGTCACACAGCAAGTAGATGGTCCGGTGGAGACCAGAGCCTCCGGGCTGCGTCCAGAATGGCTATTCTTCCCACTTTATGTTGCTGGCTAAGTGGGGTGTCACTCGCCTTGTGGGAGCTCTGGGGGACCAGATGAAGCCCAAAAAGCAGGGCTGCAGCTCACCCTCAGCCCACCCCAGAGGGGAGGGGCTGGCACAGAGCTGGGACCCACCTGAGCCATGGCTGGGCAGGAAGTGGTCCAGGAAGGCTGGCTTTTTCCTCCGTCGCTTGCTCTCGATGCCATGGGGGTCTGCGGGAAGGCAGAGGTGAGGACCCCTGGACCCAACAGCCCCTCCTCCCCAGCCTGGGGCAGGGCAGGACAGGGGGGACCTGGAGATGGGTGTGGGGAGGGGCAGAGGGGACACACCAGAACTGTTCAGCTCTCCCAGGACGTCGGGCATCCCCCGTTTCCGCTTCTTGTCCACGCCGTAGCTGTCTGTTCAGGAGATATCAGGGTAATCCATCAATAACAACAATTAAGAATTAATTTTAGAGACCATTTAGAAAGTTGTTGAGCTTGACCAACTCATGCAAATAGATGTCCACATCTTATTCAGAATAAAACAAACGCAAATCCACTCCTAACCAAACTGGTCTGTGTTGTTCCTGGAACACCCCAGGCACTATCCTGCCTCAGGGCCTTTGCACTTGCTGTTCTAGCTGCTTAAAACACTCTTCCTCACCCTGGCCAGTGTTGCTCAGTGGTTAGAGGGTCAGCCCAAGCACCCAAGGGTCGCGGGTTTGATTCCCGGTCAAGGGCACGTACCTAGGTTGGAAGTTCTATCCCCTGCCTGATCCCTGGTGCCTAGCGAACAGCAACCAATTGATGTGTCTCTCTCATATTGATGCTTCTCTCTCCCCTTTCTCCCTCCCTCCCTTCCACTCTCTCTAAAAAAAAAAAAAAATGGGATAACTATCCTTGGGTGAGGATTAAGAAAAAAGCAACACTCTTCCTCAACTCCCACCCCTTCCCTGGAGAACTACTTATTCATCCTCCCATCTTCAGCTCAGCTGTCCCCTCCTCCAGGAAGCCCTCCTTGACCCCTAAGTCTGGGTCAGGTACCCCCTCTGGGCAATGAGTCCCCTGAGCAATTCCTTCCCGGTCCTGACCACTGTATGTGAATGGGTCTGCCCTCCATAGGTCTGAGAATTATGAGG